GAGACAGAGAGCATGAGAGGGAGGAGGGTCAGAGGGAGAAGCAGACTCCCTGCCAAGCAGGGAGCCCGATGCGGGACTCCAGCATCATACTCCAGGATCATGACCTGAGCCGAAGGCAGTCGCTTAACCAACTGAGCCACCCAGGCGCCCGAATAGTTGGATTTAAAGGCTGTGCCTTATATTTGCGCCACAAGTGCTCCAAGCCCCAGACCATGGAGCCCCCATCGGGGGAGGGGATGCCAGTCGATAGTACTGAGTGTCTACTCTCTGGCGGGCACTCTCACCGGTGCTCCAGTTCTTCAATCACCTTTCAGCACAGTGCTCCTGTCCCCCTTTCATGGACGAGGAAGCCGAGGCTCACAAGCTGGAGGGGACACGTATGAAGTTGAACCAGGGGGAAGTGCCGGGCTTCCAGCCCTGGTTTCTACTCTGCAGCACCACTCATTTCAAGATCACAGGATAGTCTGCAGTGACCTTGACCAGTTGTAGAAAAAACTGAGTTAATAATGTTAACCTCAGACCTATATTTATGCTTGTTGGGACTGTGAAGCCAGCAAAAGCGTACTCCATTCTCTGGTTTTGCTGTAGGCCAGCCTTGAGTGAGGAGGCGCTTAGGGCCTGCCCATTTATTAAAAATGCAGGAATTGCAACAATGGACCGGGAATTACAGGGCTTAAAAGGAAGATTCATTTTGGGTTTTTGGGTTTTTAGTAGTTTGAGCATTAACATTTCCAAAGCCAAAGCAATCTTTTCCATGCAAGAGAGGCAACAAGTAGAGTTCCTTGTGCAGCGAGAGGGCCTTTTCCCCTTCTACTGAAGAAAAAGAGCCAGTATCAGGACCAATAATGATAGCAGCTAATAATTATGGAACACCAACCAAGGGCCAGGTACTGTGCTGTGATTTACACATAATCTCAAATTTAGCTCTCACAGCTTCATGAGCAAGAGGTATAAATACACCCATTTTACAGGCAAGAAACCTGAAGGTTAGAGATGTTAATTTGTGCAAGGTCATGTAGAAGATAAGCAGGAGAGCAGGGATTCACGTTCAGATACATCTCTCTCCTAAGCCACGCTCACCCTACAAAACCTGGAGGCAAGGCAGAAGTCCGAGGCCAACACCTTCTTGGGCTGCCCAACAACTTTAGGGACTTGATAGAAAAAGAAGCACAACCCACAAAGACATCAAGACCATCCCAAGTCCTGGAGGCAGGTAACTCGATGCCTGACAGAGAGCTCCTCTTTGGGCAACTCTCAGAATTGCACAGAATTTGATTGGTGGACCAGCACTCTCCAAACCCCAGCCTCTCCAGATGCTCCCATCCCCCAGACTGTTTTGTTAACCCGTGCCTCCTCTCAGCTTCCTCCCCAGAGGCTAAACCCCACTCCGGAGAGTCCAGGAAGGGCACCAGGGAATTCCTGTACAGCCTCAACAATGGCCATGTCTGCCCCCAGGCAGGATGGAGGAAGGGAGCAGAGCAAATGACTGCTTCTCATGCCTCAGATTGCCACTGAAGTTGTCCCAAGAGCGGGGGGGGGGGGGGGGGGAAGCCATGATGTCACCACAGGACACATTTAGGGGCCTCCGATGACACTTAGAAACCAGAAAAGTCCCTGACATTTCTGGAAACCAATAGCCAGAATGCCTGGAAACAGGCGAGGCCAAGCTCCCTGGAAAGGAGCCCAGGACTCTTAACACCATGACTGCTGCTACTCGCTCCTCTCTTGCACTCATCTTGGGATTCAGGGCATGGACTAACTGTGCCTTTGGCCCCAAACTCTTAAAGCAGGCACTTCTGTGAGCTCAGGCCTTCAGGTGAAGATCTGTCTTCCAGTTGGAGTTTGCATTCTGTCCTTGCAATTCATAAACTCATCCCTCAGGTCCTGTGGGAACCGAGAGCATTCTGTTCTGACAGGCTGCCCACTCAGAAAAGTGCGAGTGTAAGAAGGGAAAACAACTTGCTCTGGCCCCAAGGAGAGTCATTAAAAGGTGGGGGACTGGGGCACCTGGGTGGCTCAGTTGTTAAACATCTGCCTTCGGCTCGGGTCATGATCCCGGGGTCCTGGGATCAAGCCCCACATCGGGCTCCCTGCTCGGCAGGAAGCCTGCTTCTCCCTTTCCCACTCCCCCTGCTTGTGTTCCCTCTCTCACTGGGTCTCTCTCTGTCAAGTAAATAAATAAAATCTTTAAAAAAAAAAAAAAGGTGGGGGACTAGGCAGTGGAGGAGGCTGGACTGAACAACTTGATGGATCTTTCATGGATGACATTTCACCACTCCACAGATTACTCTCCACATGCCACACACCTAACACAGTCTCTACTGGGTGCACTGCATCGACGCCTCTTGTTTCCAGGGCAACCTCACCCAGGGTGAAGGGTGGCAAGCAAGGGATGGGCTAAGCCTATTTCCTTAACAACTTAGGTCCCTGAAGTGGATGAGCAGCCCATTAGTGCATGAACTCGGCCCTAAAGCTAGGCAGAACCAGGGGCAGAGATGGTGAAACAGGGCATCCAGTGGGGGGAATTGGCAGGTCAAGACCCCAGGGCTTCCACTGAAAATAACCCTACAGATCCTAGCGCTCAGCACAACCAATCTCAGCTAGTCTCTGTCTCTTTCTTCTCACACAAGATGGCCATCAGAGAAGATTCATTTGATTGGAATGTATCTAACTCGAAATTTTGGACTTTGAAACTACAACAGCCACCCCTGCTCTTTTTTTTCTTTTCTTCTCTTTTCTTCCTCCCTTCCTTCTTCTTTCTTTCTTTCTTTTTTTTCCTTAGTGATACAATGAAGCACAGGTAGGGAGAGAATCAAGATTCAGAGAACAGAGCTGATGAAAGGGAGCTAAGGCAGAAGACTATGCAGGGAGGTACAAGAATGGGGTTTGGCATCATCACCCACAATGGGAAGCCAGATTCCTCAAGGTGTGGGCTTCTCCGGGGAAGCTGAAGGCCTTAGGGGCTGAGGTAGGTGTCCTCTGGCCAAGGTCTTTCAGAAACAAAGATTCTGTCTTCACCACAGGTAACAGCCTGAAAAGGGCAGAAGCGACTCGGCAAGCCTGGAAAGGAGGCCTCGTCCTTGTGGCTCCTGAGGGGGTGCTAGGGTCGGCAGGGTTTGGGGGCTGTAGGGAGCAGAGCCCGTGGGTCCTGTGGAGCTCCAGACAAATACAGAAATGGTTTAAGTGCTCACTTCTCCCTGAGTTCTCTCTGACGCTGCGTTATTAAGGCTAAGCCCCAACTGGCTGGAGGCAGGTGGGCTCTGAAGTCCAGTGGCATAGTTCCAGCCCTGGAAAGGAGCTCCATGGAGGCTGGGGAAAGGAGGGGGGCCATAAGGGCTTTAGCTGATAGTGTGGGGGTATGGCCTTGAATCAATGGCTGAACATCTTACAATCTAGTCATTTGGAGATAAGGAAAGAAGGAAGGCAGAGAATTAAACCAAGACATAATCACAAAGATGATGGTGAAAAGGACACAAAATTGAGGAGGTGCACTCGGTGGGGGAGGCATGAGCAGGGGGCTGCCAAGAGCTTTTAGGGGACTTAAAAAGACTTCAGGGGCAGGCGCCTGGCTGACTCAGTCCAAAGAGGAGCAAATGACTCTTGATAAAGGGGTTCTGAGTTCCAGCCCCCTGGGCTGCACGCTGAGCTTACTTGAAGGGGGAAAAAAGGTTCCATAGATTCCCAAAGACTCCCAACCCTCTCACCATCCATCAACTCCGAGGTCCCTCTCTCAGCCACACCCCCTAAGAGTTATGAGGCTCTGGATCGATTTGCTTCCAACAGCAGGGGCTGCACGGTTTCGAGGGAAGGCTCGAAACTCGAGTGGCCTTTTATCAACCTAGGCATTTGAAGCTGGCAGCATACCAAATAAGCTTTGCAGAAAGAAGTCTTCTTATTTTCTTCCTTTTCCCCTCTGGAAATAAAAGTAGGTTGTGTTTCTCTCTGCCCCCGGTCCTTGGAGGTCCCCGAACCTGGAGCTAAAAGGGCTTCTTGGATTACCTCATCAAATTCTCAGCGCAGGATATCAATGCCTGCGCCTTCTGTCCTGGCTACCGCCCCTGAGGTGACCGAAGCCGAAACCAGTCACTGGGACCAGGGGGACCTGCGAGGTGGTTCAGAGGCCACCGACTTGAGTCGTGTAGGGCAGGCACTGAGCCCCTGGGGCACAGGAAATGGGGGAGAGGGTGGGTGCAGCGGTCCACTCCTGGGCTCCCCCCACCACCAGCAAGGATGGGGGTGCTAGGACGGAGGGTGGTGGGAGAGTCAGAGGTGCGGCGACAGACCCGCACTGGCCAGAGAAGAACAGGGCCTGGAGGAGGCTCTGCACGGCCACAGTTATCGCTTGTGCTGGGGGCAGACCGATCTCGCCGAGGGCTCGGGTTGCTCGCCAAGAAACTTCTGGGACCGTGTAAGTGCAACTGGGCATAGCAGATCACGGAGGGGGCAGGGACAGGGGCCTGTGCGGGCAGGAGGGGAACTGGTTTCTTCCATCTCATGCGTGAAAATCAAGACTGTTTCTGTGCCGGGTCTCTCCACCCTCCTCCACTCCCTTTCTCGTGCTTAACTCGGCCCCAAGGTCCGTGGCCCGTGGAAGAGACGGAGAACCTGAAAGGCGGCAGATGGGAGGGCCCCCGGGACCCGCAGGGGCGGCACAACCACCGCGCCTGTCTTCTCTCCGGCGAAGCCCAGTTCAGCCGGCGCCCAGTGTGTCCCCTGGAGCTCCTCTGCGCACAGCGTGGAGCCGCAGGACTCCGGGTCCCTCCCGCTCGCCATCCAGGAACCGGCAAATGCGCCTACTCAGCCAGACAGCGGGGGAGCCAGAAGTTGCAAATACCTGGACAGAAATACCAGCCCGTCCCAAAGGCCCGACAGCTGCAGGTCAAGGGAGAGGGGCGCGTGGGAGAAGCGAGGGGCGAGCGGAGCGGCGGCCGGCGACCCCGCGCGCCCCGGCGCGGCCTCGCCACGGTGCCCCGGGCACAGGGGGCGCCGGCGGAACTTACCCCAGAGCAGAGTGAGCGGCTTGGCTGTGGGGATAAGCGCCAGGGAGTACACGGCCCCCAAGTGGAGCAGGCTCATCAGGACGACGTTCCTCCAGACGATGTTCTGCCGCGGCCCGCGCGCGCCGGGGCCCTGCTGGCCGCCGCCGGCCTCCGAGCCTTCGACCCTCGCACGGATCTCCTCCTTGGCGTTGCGGAAGGGGACCTGAGCCCCGTCGGCCGCCGGGCCTGGCATGGCTGGGAGAGGTGGGCGCCCGCGGCAGCAGGCAGCAGGCAGGCGCTCGGCTGGCGCAGAGCTCTCCAGTGGGGGCGGGGGCTTCTGCCTTTTGTTGGGGGGGTGGGGTGGGGAGGTGGTCTCTGCACTCCTGTCCCCGCCTTCCCTTCCCTTCTCTGCTTCCTTCTCTCTTCTTCGGGCTGTCAGCGTGGACTAAGAATGCAAAGCTTGGCGCCCGGCATCTGTTGCTGGCGAATCACCCAAGCGGCTGCCGGGGCCGCACTCGGCTGCGAGGAAGAGGAGGCGAGCGCCAGGGGCGGGAAGGGGCGCGGAGTGGGCGGAGGGCGTGTGGAAAGGGAGCGGGAGGGAGCACCGGGAGGGAGCACTCGGAGGGAGCCGAGGAAGAAAGACCTGCATAGCTACAGCCAATCAGGATCGCCTGTGGGGCTCTTAAAGAGGAAGGCGCCCTCCTGGCCTCCGCCGCCCCGGCTTCCCAGAGCCGGACGCGCGAGCCCGCTGGGCTGGCGGCTGGCGGCTGGCCCCCTCCGCCCGCGGGTGGTGAGAAGGGGCTCCCCCGACAGGGAGCTCATAGCACTTCTGTCGTTTTTGTGTGCTTCTCCAGTGCCAAAAAAATACCTTTGCCTTTTGAAATGACTCCCCCCCCCCTTTGGAAGCCACAGTCCACTCGTGTTGGCGAATTTAAAATACTTGTCTGGAGTCGCAACACGTTAAGGCCATATCCGAGATGAGAACCAGAAGTCCGCGCGTCTGCCGGTTCGTATGGCTCCTCGGGCCGTGGAGGGATGAAGGCAGCTCCTCAACTTTTAATTAGGCAGCTGCAGCCAGACACACAGTAGGTGCTCAGTTAGTGCTTATTAGATGATACATACACGATTTAGTAGCCAACAGTACCGTGCTCCTCGCGCAGCCCATCATCCGCGCAGCTCTGCTTATGGCCTATTCTGGGCTAACCAGCGCACTTCCGGACTGTCTCCTTAGTCCTCAGTTATTGGAATACCGTAAAGTCAGCACCATTGTGAATGGGGCTTTAGAAAAATCACCCAGAACATTTCAAGGAAAATTAACCCGTGAAAAAATTTATGTCTGCTCATTCTTCTCTTTGTCAATAATTTAGAGCTGCTTCAGAGGGAGCCCTAATTGTACAGAAATGCTGAGAGGAGTGAGCTGGTCATGTCCCAAGCAGGTGTGGCTGCACCTACAGGCTGGTAGCAGAAGAAAAAGGCCTCAGAACTGGAAGTCAGGGCCTCTGAGTTCTAGCTCTAAGTCAGTGCGACCCAGCTCGGCTCTCCGGACACAAAGTTCCTTACGGGGAACAGAATTCATTTGTACTCTTTCTCCCAACTTGCAAATTCTGTGAATGTGAGTTTGAAGGAGTACCATTATGTTGACAAATAAAGCTGATTTTTGGATTACCCATTGTTAGGAATCCTTTCCAAGATTCTGGGAAAGGGCAAAAAATTACAAAGAACTGACTGCCTGAAAGGGCCATATGTGAGCATCTTATTGTTAGCCAACCTGAACCAGTCCAATCAGCCAGATTGAAATAATGTCTGATTTAAAATGGAAGCAAGGTATGTTGCTGTGGAATTGGGGCCACTGAGGCAGGGTTATGGTGGCGCTTCAGATGGAGCTGAAATCATAGAATGAAAGGAAATTTGCCTGGCGGCCAGCCGGATAAATGTTGGCACTGAATAAGGACTAGTGAGACAATAGAACATGAAACTAGAGGCTATCGATTTCATTAACCTGCTCAACCTGGGCTTTATAATGAACCACTTTTTCTTCTCATGAGTCCTCTCCTTCCCACTCCCACCAGACCCACATACTGCCTGCAAGTCTTTAGTTCAGACTGTCCTTTCTCTCACGGGTGGACTAGTTACTTGGCAAAAAATCACTGGGTTGTTGTAATGACTCCCCCTACTCACTCTAACCATTTGATCGTTTGTTTGGGATTTGTTGGGCACCTGCTATGTGCCAGGACTGGTGGACACTTGGGGATACAAGGATGAATGAGGTATGGTCCCTGCCCTAAAGGAACTCCTCATCTGGGCGGGAAGACAGATCAAACAAATGTAACCTCTTGGCTATGACCTTAGAAGGGCAGGAAGGTCCAGTCCATTATCAGAAAAAAAACTTTTTATTATACATCAAGCATACATACCAAAAGTCCAGGGGAGGCAGCAAAACAGGTCTTTGCTTGACCCCAGCGTACATTATCTATTGGATAAGCCACTCTGTCTTGAACCTATCTTGAACATCTTCCTCTCTTCCCTCCAATAATGAATCAGACTGGGTTGGGCCAGTCATTTCAGCAGATTGGACTCAGGATGGAGAAGGGGATGTTTGTATGTGTTCGGGTCGGGGGAAGTGCTCTTTAGGTCTTTTAGATCCTGCCTACAAAAGGATGATTGAAGAAAAATGGTTCTTCCAGATCCAATCTCAGAGTGAAACCTCTACAAATATAAGATATACTCTTGCTGATAAAGACTGTCCCCTGTAGCATATTATGCCATCAGGGCTACCGTCTCTTTTCCAATCTAAGGTCTTTTATTTTCTTAGCTTCTGGTCAAGATCTCAGAAGTGGATGAGTGTTCCTCTCACCCCTTAATGGGGGCAAATGGGATAGTAAACCTTATCCTGTCAAATAATTATCAAAAATGTGGTAAGAGCCCTAATAGTTGTATGTACAAGATAAAATGGAAGCACAAAGGAAGGAATAGTGGGGGAGGGGGGAGAGGGGTAATATCCAAGTAGGATTTTTTTTTTTTTAAAGACTGTATTTATTTATTTGAGAGAGAGAGACACAGCGAGAGAGGGAACACAAGCAGGGGGAGTGGGAGAGGGAGAAGCAGGCTTCCCGCTGAGCAGGGAGCCCGATGCGGGGCTCGATCCCAGGACCCTGGGATCATGACCTGAGCCGAAGGCAGACGCTTAACCATCTGAGCCACCCAGGCGCCCTTTGTTTTTTTTTTTTTTAATTTGTGGTAAAATATGCATAAATCCTAACCATTTTTGAACATACAGTTTAGTAGTGTTAAATATATAATAATAAAATAGATATATAAATCTTCAGACCTTTTTGAACTTGCAAAACTGAAACTCTATGCACATTAAACAACAATCCCCCATTTTTCCCTCTCCCTAGCCTGGCAACCATCATTGTACTTTGTTTCTTTGAGTTTGATTACTCTAGATACCTTGTATAAGTGGAATCACTTATCACACTTTGTCTTTGTATGACTGGCTTATTTCACTTAGCACAATGTCTTCAAGGTTCATCCATGTTGTAGTGTGTGTCAGAATTTCCTTCCTTTTCAAGGCCAAATAATATCCCATTGTATGTATATACCATATTTTGCTTACCCATTAATCCTATAGTGGACACTTGAGTTCCTTCCACCTTTTTGCTATTGTGAATAATGCTACTCTGGGTATAGGGATACAACTATCTCTCTGAAACTGCTTTCAACTCTTTTGGATCTATACCCAGAAGGAGTATTGATGGATTTTATGGTAATTTTATTTTTAATTTTTGGGGAACTCCATACTGTTTCCCATAGCAGCAGCAGCACCGTTTACATGGCCACCAACAATGTGCAAGAGTTCCAGTTTCTCCACATCCTCACTAACGCTTGTTATTTTTGTTGGGGATTTTTTGTTTTTTTGTTTTTTTTTTTTTTAGATTACAGCCATCCTAATGCATGTGAGGTGATATCTCATTGTGGTTTTGATTTACTTTTCCCTAATAGTCAGTGATGATGAACATCTTTTCATGGACTTGTTGGCCATTTGTAGGTCATCTTTGGAGAAGCATCTATTCTAGTCCTTTGCCCTTTTGATCGGGTTTTTGTTGTTGTTGTTCAGTTATAAGAGTTCTTTACATACTCTGAATATTAACCCCTTATTAGATAAATAGTTTGGAAATATTTTCTCCCATCCCAAAGGTTGCCTTTTCATTGTGGATTGTGTCCTTTGATGCATAGAAGTTTTAAATTTTGATGTAGTCCAATTTACCCATTTTTACTTTTGCTACCTATGCTCTTAGTATCATATCTAAGAAATCATTGTGAAATCCAATGTCATGAAGCTTTTCCCCTGTTTTCTTCGAAGACTTTTTTAGTTTTAGTTCTTATGTTTAGGTCTTTGATCCATTTGGAGTTAATTTTTGTATCTAGTGTAAGATGAGGGTTTAACTTCATTCTTCTGCATGTAGATTTTCAGTTTTCCAAACACCATTTGTTGAAGAGACCCTCCTTTCTATTGAATGGTCTTGGCACCCTTATTGGAGGGCATTTGACTGTCTACTCGAGGGTTTGTTTCTGGATTCTCTATTCTATTCCATTGGTCTGTACGTCTATCTCTATGCCAGTGCCACATTGTTTTGATTACTGTAGCTTTGTAATACATTTTGAAAACAAGAAGTGTAAGACCTCCAACTTTGTTCTTTTTTTTCAAGATTATTTTGGCCATTTGGGATCCATTGAGATCCCATATGAATTTAGGATAGATGTTTTTTGGTTTTGTTTTTTTTAAAGATTTTATTTATTTATTTGACAGAGACACAGCGAGAGGGGGAACACAAGCAGGGGGAGTGGGAGAGGGAGAAGCAGGCTTCCCGCGGAGCAGGGAGCCTGATGCAGGGCTTGATCCCAGGACCCCAGGACCATGACCTGAGCCGAAGACAGATGCTTAACGACTGAGCCACCCAGGCGCCCTAGGATAGATGTTTCTATTTCTGCAAAAAATTTCACTGGGATTTTGATAGAGATTGCAATATATCTGAAGATCACTTTGGTTACTATTGACATCTTAACAATATTAAGTTTCGAATCCATAAACATGGGATGTCTTTGTATGTGTCTTCTTTAATTTTTCTCAGCAACATTTTGTAGTTTTCAGTGTACAAGTCTTTTGTCTCCTTGGTTAAGTTTGCCAAATGAGGATTTTCAAGGAGTGCTGTCTAATAGAAATATAATACACACACAAACTCAAGCCACATGTACAAATTTAAATTTTCCAGTAGCCACATTAAAAAAGTAGAAAAAATAAATTTCAATAGTTTCTTTAAACCAATCTATCCAAAATATTATCTTTTCAATGTGTAATCAATATAAAATTATTAAGACTTTTACACTCCCCCCCCCACACACACTGTACCTTCAAAATCCATTGTTTATAGTTATAGCAGAGCACATTTTAAATTCAGGTTAGCCACATATCAAGTGCTTAATAGCCACGTGTGGCTCCTGGCTACCATATTGGAGAGCACAGTTTTGAATGATGAGTAGTTTATTAGACAAATAAATGGCAGAGGACATTCCAGGCAGAGACAGTAGTGCAAACAAAAGCAAAAGCTTTTGCATTTGGCATTTAGGGA